TAACGACAAAGTTTTGAGTTCTGAAACTTACAGGATGTTTTTATATTACAATGCTCTCTTATGTGTCAAATGATCAAGAGAACTTTGGTTTCTCAGTTCATGACCCCTTTAAACAAAAGTGCATACGTTTTCATTTTAACTGGTATTTATTTATAACACCTGGAGAGAGCATCCGCCAGCATTCCCATTCATCTCAGCCTTATGATTTCAGTCAATAACAAGTAAAATTTCAACTGAAATCTCTGTCTAATCCTTTCAGCATTCCCATTCATCTCAACCTCATGATTTCAGTCAATAACAAATTAAATTTCAACTGAAAACTCTGTCTAATCCTTTCAATAAATTAATTCTGGTGCTTTTCCATTGCAGACAGTGAGAGAAGCTGCTGATATGTTCAAGAAACTAAAGATCCCTTTCCCTGAAGTTAACATTCCCAGTGAAGACCTGGAGAAACTGAAGGACTTCTATGTGTTCAAAGGCCAAAACGCTCCAACCGTGATTCACATCCCTCTATTTAATGTGGTCAACTGTGGAGGCAAGTTAAGATTGTCTAGTTGAATAAAACTACAAAAAAAAAATATATATATATTTAAGTGTTTTGTTATTTCTTCAGATGAAGTTGAGGCCTGGAGGAACAAATATCGCACCTTTCAAGGCCCTTACAGCGCTGAGATGATCACTGATCTTATGGAGGTCGCTGGAAAAAACATCTCAAACAACAGAGAGAAACTGAAGGAGCAGATTGCTGCGGTCGTTGGGAAAAAAGCACACAACTAATGAGAATCTGAAGAGTGCACAATGTTCTGAAATGAAGAGGCAAAGTCATTACCGTTTGTTTGAATAGTTTTCTTTTTTACGTAAAATGATGTTCCAGTTATAGTTAATGTTGACACATTTTTCTGATTAAATAATTAAATATTACTTGCATCTAGGAAACAACAACTATGTAACTAATGTTCTGCTTATTAAAACAACGTATATTTCTCATCAAGTTAGTGCTTTTTACGCATGTGTACATTTATACCAGTAATTATTTGTGAACGGATGTTCAGCTGTTCTTTTTAATAGTCAACTTATTTTAGGACCATCAGTCACAATTCCTTTACTACACAATGCTGATTTGAAAAGTGACATCGAAGTGAGTTGCAATTCATTACCTTCACCACTGCTGTTTTGGTAGGCTTCATTAATGTCACATTTTTCAGTTGAAGTGTTTAGTATGTCCGTAAGAAAAAGCTTTGCCACCCCTGTGCATAAAACGCAAATGTGTGTATAAATGTAAACATTTGCATGACTGTGCTTCAATGTGATGATGGCATAAAAGTACTGTGTAATGCGAAATAAAGGTTGCACACATCGCAATCATGTTATGTGACTAGTGTAGTCCAATCAGGAAGAATGTATGGTTCTTTTTAGCGAGTTTATGTAGACTATTCATGAACAAATGATGAATCCAGCAAGTCAAAAACACACAGCACCTTTGTAGCCGATTCACGAACACATGACTCTTATTCAATTCAATTCAAGTTTATTTGTACAGCGCTTTTCACGATGCAAATCATTGCAAAGCAACTTTACAGCAAATTAAGTTTCTACAATATTTAGTGGTAGCTTGTGAACTTCAAAAACACAGAATAGGATGCCTGGTATTTGAAACATTTATGATATTTGACAACATTCTAAACATTTATGGATTAAAATGTATGTAATATTGTATGTTTTTTTTTTATCCATTTCACAAATTTATAGCTTGATGAAAATTAAACAATAAAAACATTGTTCACAAGCGAGATTTATCTTTAATGTTTCTGTTTTCTTCACACATCACATTTTATGTATCTCTCTGAAGTCTCTTTGGCACTAAAGTACACTAATTCTTACTCTTTGTTTTGTTTTTTTGGCAAATGCTTTTATCCAAAGCAACTTGCATTGCAGTCAAGGTTCACATTTGATCTCTTAAAAACAAAGTTGAAATCTGTCCATTGAAATTAAAACCAAACCCTGGCACACCATAAATGACGATGCATGCAATCTTTAATTTTACGTATGCATGCACTTCCTTATGCAATACCATGTTGCAGCCTGTTCTGCTGGTAATGAGCATGAAGGATTTCCCCTGTTCTCACTGAAAAGGACAACAGAACAACCTGTTTTCTGCCACACAAGCTAGGTGAGGTGCATGAGGAGAGGCTACATAATTAATATACAAGGAAATATCACACTTTTCCTGGTCTCAGTGAATGATTGAGTCATTCATCATTCATAACCCCACCCTCAGGATGATGTCTAGACTTGCAGTGTAGTTTCAGAGCCCTATATAAGAGCATCTGCTGGCTGAAGGTCAGATAAGGACTGCCGTCTTGTTTTTTGGGTGTGGTATTGAAGACTCACGATTTACAGAAATAGTAAGTATATGTTTTAAAGCCTTATATAAATAATGTCAGGGCAATTTAAATGTTTCATGTCATTATAAATTGCATGCGACAACCTTATTAGTGATCCGCACACTACCAAAAGTGCATAAAAATATACAATGATGGTGAAAAATGATTTAACTGTGGGAGCCATTTTTCAGTGTGACAAAGTTTTGCTTTTTTTTTTTTGCATCACAATCTTTACAACGTTATTGAAATATACTATAAATAATTGTATGTTTGAAACATATACTGATGTTTTGATCCAATAGCAGTCTGACTCTAAAAACTATAAAGATGCAAGATTGCATGATGTCTGAAGTAATCAGCTGTATTTTGGCCATCTAATATTTTATTTAAAATTAATAAAATAATTTAAAAAAATATTTCAGATCATGCTTTTCACATTATTTAAACGTTAAATTATTCAAAAGTGTTTTCATTTTAAGCTGGAACACATATTTCACACATAGTTTCTACTTTATTTACGTTTCCCTATTAAACAATATTTGTATTTACTTTGACGCATGCATACTATTAATGTTTTTCACATTTACTCTGTTGTTTCTTTGGTTTATCATAATTCTCTAAAAACAGCCTATCAGAGTTTTCTGACTTGCTGTATCCTCAAAAATATTCATTTTAAATGATAGAAACTGACTTGACTCTTGTTTTACAGATGAGTGCATCTAAACCCAAGGAAAGGTACGTAATCCTGCCCAGATTTCTACAACAAACTGCTATATTCTGAGAATAAACTTCAGATTTAATTGCATTGAAATCTAGAATATTGGACATCTTCTAAATATATCAAATAAGTCATGTTCAGGTCAGCACTGATCTGTCTGTCTGTCTCAGCGGTAAGAGGAGAATCGAACCCTTTCTGAATAGGAGCGAGCAGGAGTTTGTAGCCAGCAGGAGAAACACTGTTCTACAAACCCTGAAGAAGCTTAAGATTCAATGCAGTCGGGTAAAACATCATATGTTATACTTCATATTTCCAAATGCTTATTTTGAATGATGTGTTGGGTGATGAACATCAGCAGTCAAGCATCAATGTCACTCTCTTCATTGTGAAAAACGATGCCATTCCTAGGTAGCAAGCATTTTGATGTGTTCTTACAATGCTTTACCATTTCAAAAAGCTCAGCACAATCAAAATGATAACTTTGGTAGCATTACATTCTGTTGTTTTATCTAAAATCTGTTAGTGCATAAATAACTTTCACACTTTTTACAATAAACATTTGTAAAGGAAAAGTGTGCTTCCAGGAGCAAGACTGGACACGCCTGAGTTTTTAAAAATAATTACGTTAGTCACGGGATTTAACTGTGGGATGGGAACAGACGTTTGTAAACTACTGTATATCTCAGTTCATTTTCCATTAAACGACTAAGCAAGTCGCAAGAGTTCCAAGTTGGAATTTTTTGATACTTCTGATACTTTGAATGGTCTGTGCATTTCAGAAAGAGGTGCCAAACATAGCATTACTGGGTTCTGGAGGAGGACAAAGAGCCATGGTGGGTTTGCTGGGATCCCTGGTTCAGCTTGATAAAGCGGGTCTTCTGGACTGCATCCTTTATCTGAGCGGAGTCTCTGGATCCACCTGGTACGAACCCTGAGAAACAACAAACACGCAGAGATTCAATTGAGTTGAATGTCAAAAACGAGAGCAGTATGTTCTTCTCTGAAGGTGCATGGCCTCCTTATACCAAGAACCAGACTGGTCCACCAAACTAGAGACCGTGAAAGACAGAATCATCGAGAGAATCAGAGGTCCAGGAGTCAGCTTGACAGACGCAATGGCCAAACTGAAGAAATATTACTACGGGAAAGACTTCTTCAGCTTGACTGACGTCTGGGCAGTGATGGTCATCACGTCATATGTGAAAGAGGTCTGTAACTATTCATGACCAGGGATGGATTTTTCAGGTTTAATTTGTATTCATAATTTAGAAAATTATAGGGTGGTATGATTTACAGCCTGTCTTTCCAAATACTGCTGAATCAATATAGTTTGAGTTTGATGCATAGAGAAGGTTAGTTTATCATTTTTACCGAAAACAAGCTATTTATATCTTGCAGTTCAGTGGCCAAATGATGTTGATTCAGTGTTCCTGAATTGGACTTTTCTTTTTTTATTCACTAAAAAGAACTGGTTCATTATAGCAGTCATTTGTTCGTGAATCGGGCTACACAGGTTGGGCTTTGTGGTTGCATATTTTGTCATTTGTGTCCCTGGAGCACAAAAGCAGTCTTAAGTCGCTGGGGTATATTTGTAGCAATAGCCAACAATACATTGTATGGGTCAAAATTATACATTTTTCTTTTACGCCAAAAATACATCAATGGAAAGATTATTTATTCAGCTTTCAGATGATTTATAAACCAAATTTTTGAAAAATTGACCCTTATGACTGGTTTTGTGGTCCAGGGTCACATTTAATGCCAGGGTAAACAAGTGTTATAAATGTACATGACATTGAAAAAAATTAAAATATGAAAGAACTTTGATAGGTTTACAATGTTATTTATTATGGCAATGCAACATTTCTGTTTGTAAAAAAGGGTCCAGCATCTCCTATAGTAGACTTATAGGTTACATAGCCCTACACAGAAATATTACATTTTAAATTGAGAAAGAACAAACCAACCTAGCGATAAAACTGATGGACATCTCCAAAAAAGGATGTACTTCAAGTTTTAAATGGAACATTTCTCTCTAAGCCAGCAGTCATATTTCTTTTAAGTAGGCTACACCTAAGAATGAAATGGTAGTGAATCTCGACTCTTGAGTTTCTCACTGTAAAAATGTCCTATGAAGCTTCATCCCTATAATACAATAACATGATGTGTGTTTTCTGTAGATCGACGAGCACGCACTCACAGAGCAGCGGAACCAGCACAAGAAAGACCCGTTTCCCATCTACACAGTGATCGACAAGCAATGCAAACAGAGCAATGAGCAGAGCAGAGGTCTGTGTGTGATGCAAGAAAAGGGATGAAACGTTAATGTGCTCGTGTCAATTGTTACATGGACATGTTTTCTGTCTGCAGACCCCTGGTTTGAGATCAATCCATATGAAGCAGGTTATTCCCTCACTGGAGCGTTTGTGGACACCTGCGACTTTGGCAGCCAGTTTCACGAAGGCACAAAGAAAAAACATCAGGATGAATTTGACATGCTGTACCTGCAAGGTAAAAAGCTTTGTCACAGAGGAGTTCAATATTTGGGTAACACTTTATTTGTAATATCAACTTACATAAAACAAATTCACTGTAAACCACGGCTTCACGGGGCTTATTGCTTTTATAAAACGGTTATTCCATATACGTAGTAAGGTTTCACAAAATAAAACAGAGCAAATAAAGTGTAATGATATTAATAAAAACAGTATTCTTCCACCAAACAATGTAGCTCCTCAGAAACAGTTGTGGTTGCAACAAAGTGGTTGCCGAGCAACAGACAAACATAAACAAAGGTGTATGTTACTTTGTAGAGTAATTTACAACAGCTTCGAACGCGGCTCAGCCAATCAGAATCAAGCACCGGAACTCTCCGTTGTATAATGATCTAATAAACATACCTCTGCATCCAATGGAAAATCAATTTAATGGATCTGTGATATAATGTCACATACTTTTACCCAAAACACTTTCACTTTAGGACACAACCAGGTAGAATGCAAAAAAGTAGCTTCTTCTGTACCACATCTAAAGCAGAGGGGTTGTTAAATTTATGTAATCCGGATGGAGTGTAATAAAGCTTTACATAACTGTAATGTTATCTTCAAATCCAGCTCCCATCTACGTAGTTTTGGATTTATCTGGATCAGCTAAAAACTGGCTTGACATCAGAGCATCATATATTCTAGAAATTGTTTTATATAATGGTTTATCAGAGTAGCAGAGTTGCTCAATAGCAGTACGTTTTTGATTTGACGCTTAAACAGTCTCGTAATTGCAAATAACTAAAGAATTCTTTATTACTCAAGTTATATTTATTCTTTAACTGTTCAAACGACATTAAAACACCATTCTCAAAACACATTGGGAGCTATCTATTCCTCCATAAAGGTGTTTTAGGGGGGAAACAAAATTGTCTATAAAATAATCAAATTAATAAAATAATTACAAATTGCCTTGAGACACATCCTTGTCGCTTAAAAAGTTTGCAATTCAATCATACAAAATCTCTGCAGTTTATTTTGCACTTCCAAGTTTGTTGATCTTGTGTTTTTCTGCAGCTCTTTGCGGCAGCACTTTAGCGGATGAAGTGGATATTAAGAAAACCATGTGGCAAAAGATAAGCGGTGAACATTTTTTCTGAGGACTGAATTTTGCTTGAAGTCAGCTGTTATTTTATTATCATCCTTTTTATGTTTTTCAGATTTCTTTAAAAACGAAACAATACTTGAGGCAATGAGAGAGGGTAAAGCATTTCTTACTGCTTTTATTTAAGTAGCTGTTTTTAATTAAGAACTAAAGTATTTTTATTTAAGTACAACATTAAGCATAATTGCTTCTGGTTGTGGGAAAACTGATATCGTAACATCATAAATTTGAATGTGGAAAAAGTGTTTTTTTGCAATGTGTTCATCTTTACTCAATATATATTGACAGAAGAGCGTGAGATGAGTGAGAGGAGACATGAAGCAATGAGAAGAGAGAAGGAAACAGATCTTGCGCCCGAAGCAGTACTGCACTCTTTTACAGAGCCCTGTCCGCCAGACTCCGACAAACGTGGGTTCCCTTCAGACGATCCAATCCCCCCATCTTTAGACGAATGTTACCGGGCGCTCATGGATGTTGTGGACATGAATATCTCTGCTTTGAATGGCGAAGATACTTCTGGTTTTGATAAATCCATCAGAACAAATTTGAACGGTAAAGCATTATACATCACAGTGAGAACCTGCTGTTCAATGACAACAGATTTGTGAAGAATGGTCAAAAAAGCCATATTTCACATCATATCTGCATTTAAAAATGGTCATTTGTGCTTTGAAAAAAAGCGTCTGCTAAATATGTGACCCTGGAGCACAAAACCAGTCATAAGGGTCCATTTTTGTACATATATAAACTAAAAATTGTTTATATAACTATTTTATATCTATATATTTTATATCCATATAAAATATATAACTATAAAATATATAACTATATTTTATATCCATATAAAATATATGGATAAGGTAGCATTTACAATAATATGTAATAATAACTCAATCATGTCATGTCCTGTTTTCTTACAGACCTCTCTGGAGGCAAAAGTCAGCTGATTGATCCAATGAAAACACTGGAAACTGTTGATAAAAGAGCAGAAAAACGGTATATAAAACGTTTCACCATAGATGTGTGCGAAGATTTGAGTAGTCGGATCAAAATTTGGCTCATTGGTAAGTTGAATTGTCTCTAATTTCCAAAAAAATAGGCCTAAATTTAAGATTTATGTAGGCTATTTGAATTGCATGTAAAATTTCTATCCATTTGGAATACACAGTAAACTTAAGTGATGCATATTTGTCAGTCACACATAAATGAAACTGGTCAATTTTTTTGAATTAATACCAATAAACAGTAGCCACACTCTAAAAAATGCTGGGTTAAATACAACCCAGTGCTGGGTAAAATAGGGACAAACCCAGCAATTGGGCTGTTTTGACCCAGAGGTTGGGTTAAATGTTTAACCCAACCTTCTGGGTAGTAACCCAACCGCTGGGTTAAAATAACCCAATTGCTGGGTTTGTCCCTATTTTACCCAGCACTGCGTTGTATTTAACCTAGCATCTTTTAGGGTGCAGGTTTATATATAAACTTAAGTGATGCATATTTGTCAGTCACACATAAATGAAACGGGTCAATTTTTTAAAATTAATACCAATAAACAGTAGCCAGGTTTATAGATTTAGCAGCATTTAATTGTTTGCATTCCATACACACAATAAGCGGTAATGAAACAATCAAGTCCACAGCCAAAATGGTTCTTGATAACCTGAGAATCGTTTAAAGAAATGAATTAGAAAATGTATAACTGTTTTACAGATGCTGGGATTAGTATTTGTAAATGCATGGCTCAGTGGATCTGGGGAAGGAAATATAACTTCCTCCACAACATGACAGGTGAGAACAGACCTGCTAAAAACCCGCAATTCAATGAGAATACTAAAAGGGACTCATTTCACACTGTGATCGATTAGATGAAGCAGTGCACTCCACTATTCTGCAAAGTGAGACGAGAGACTATATAGACGCAGGACTGCTGCTGAACTCACCCTACTTCTCAGTGCTGAGAGAAGAACGAGACATCGACCTCATCATTTCCCTGGATTTCAGTGATGGAGATCCTTTCATGGTAGGCCTGGCTATTATACACATAGAATTCTTTACAAACCCCTCACAGGATGTGCAAAATTTTAATTTTATAGCTACACTCTAAAAAATGCTGGGTTAAATACAACCAAATGCTGGGTAAAATAGGGACAAACCCAGCAATTGGGTTGTCCAGCATTTTTTAGAGTGTAGCTATAAAATTAAAATTTTAAAATTTACCCAGCACTATTTAACCCAGCATTTTTTAGAGTGTACAGTAACAAAATTTAAATAACTATAAATCCATCTTCAAAATGCATGTCTGTCTTAAGCCTGTAATAACTGTTTATATATTAGGCCTGTCGGGACGGAATTTGTGGGTAATTTTTTACATATGCCATTCACCCATGCATGTCATGATAGGAGAAACTAAGCTTTTCAAAGCTTTTAATTAATTGAACCATTTGCTTCGCAAAATAACTGTTTCGAAGCGCTCGAAACACCACATGTTGGTGACACCAGCTGGTCGGAATGGTGTAAATGCAACTAAAATTCAGTCCAAACATGCATAAATACAACTTTTACAAACCCATTGCAAACATTTCTATGAAATGTATTAAATGCAATTAACAAATCATCTAATACCATTAAATATTAAGTGTCTGTATAATTTGGGTTCTTTTATCAGTTTTCAGGGTTTGTTTTGTTTCTTCTGTGAATTAATCAAATCAATGTAGGCCAATAAGATACCATTAGCTACTATTATTATGTTTAATTATACAAATGTCTCATAAAAATCTTGTTCAATGGTTTGGTTTGCCGTTCACAGAAATCATCCCTGGCCACGAACCATTGACATTTTTTAATTTAGATTTTTTTAAATCACGTAACTTTGGCAGTTTGATACCCCTGTTGAAAAAACCAGCATATGCTGGTTAGGTATGTTTTGACGCTGGGATGCTGGTTTAAGCTGGTCCTTTGCTGGTTTATGCTGGTCCTTTGCTGGTCCTTTGCTGGTTAATGCTGGTCCTTTGCTGGTTTAAGCTGGTCCTTTGCTGGTTTAAGCTGGTCCTTTGCTGGTTTAAGCTGGTCCTTTGCTGGTTTAAGCTGGTCCTTTGCTGGTTTAAGCTGGTCCTTTGCTGGTTTAAGCTGGTCCTTTGCTGGTTTATGCTGGTCCTATTGCTGGTTTATGCTGGTCCTTTGCTGGTTTATGCTGGTCCTTTTGCTGGTTCTTAAACCAGCATCCCAGCGTCAAAACATACCTAACCAGCATATGCTGTTTTTTTCAACGGGGACGCGCTTCGAAGCACTAGTTCAAAACAAAGGTTTCGAAGCTTCATGAAGCAGTTCTTGGAATGCGCCAAATACTAATCATATCCTAATTTAAAAAAAAGTTAGCCCTGGCTACTTTGGCGCATGTTTGGTGTAGGGTTAGCGTAGCTGTAGGTTAATTCCCTTACGAAAATTCACTACAAATAAAACCAAAAAAGCTATGGATACTATAGCCTAGTTAAACCATGGTAACCACAAATTAACCATGGTCTTGCTACACTAACCATCGTTTAACCATGGTATTTGTAGTAAAACTGTGGCTATACAAATGGTAATCACTGAGCCAAAAAACCATGGTTACTACAATTTTACTATAATAAAACCATGGTTAAATTTTTGTAAGGGTTGTCACAACAAGTGAGAAATATCAAACATAGACCACGCAGAATGGCAAACCAAATAGAAACGCCCAAAGTCTACAAGCAAAACAAAACTATCATCAACATTGACTTAGCTTTTCAAATAGCTAGAACTCTATACATTTAAAATGTTTTAAAAGCGACCCAATGATGGCTTTTTCTTACTCAATGATATTTTAGCATAGCACTCTAACAGAGAATTGACAACGTTTGACCTGATCAGACTAGCGATGTTACAAACTTATGTAACGTTATTAATTTTAAAACAACAATTAGTCAAAACAACATTCGCGCAATTCATCCGTGCAACCAAAACACTGTTCTTCAGCAAGACGCATGCAGGTTTATTTCTGAACCGCTAGAGTGCCTAGGGATCGTAAAACTTGTATGTTGTTTTTATTTAGTACTGCCCTCAATAAGCTATTTCACATAACAGATGTTTACATACAGTATAGTCCATATATGGACACATATAGACAATATTAATAACTGAATTTACACAAATAAACCAGTTCAAAAGTTTATAAACGCTTGTTTCTTAATGCTGTCATCCTGAGCAGTAAAACTGACCACTGTTCTTCAGAAAAAACAACAACTTTATTTTCTTTTCCAGCATCTTCTGCACATTTTGAACCCTTTTTAACACTGAGTGTGATTTTTTGAGATCCATCTGTTCACAATGAGGATGACTGAGGAACTCAGATGCGACTATTACAAACATGATGCTCAAAAAAAAAAGAATTATAATTGGGGTGTAAAAACCTTTGAACAGGATAATCAGTGTAAATTTATCTTATTTTGTCTTCTGGGAAAAGTAAATATCTCATCTAGCTTTTGGAAGGGTGGTACTTTATATCTTTAAACAAAATAAGAGCAATTTACACTGATCATTCTGTTCCAAGAGCTTTTAATGAAGCCTTCACTGTTAAAAATTTCCTGTAGAAATTACAGTAACTTACTGGCAGCAGTTCGCCAGTAACTTACTGTAAATTAAACTTACAGTAAAAGTACTGTATTAATAATTACAGTACCATTTAACTTGCTGTAAATGTATTTATAGTATGTATACTGTACTTTTAATTTTTACTGTAAAATATACAGTAATTTTATGGTCTTTTCTTCAGTAACGTATTGAAATACAAGAAAAAAAAATTTAAAATTATTTTATGAAAGTTGTGTTGTGAGCACTTGTAGCGCGTGTGTTGTCAAGTTGATGAAGTTGTTTTCTTAATTTGCAGGTGTTTTTTCTATTTGCAGCGTGTTGAGCTCTCTCGGCCACCGTATTTATGCAGTAAATAGATTGTTCTATCAACAAGTTCATCCAGATCAACCTGTTGCCTGCCACTCAAACTTACTAAAGGTGAGGTGCAGCACCTCCCTCCCCAACACACCCACACACAAATCTGTGCTGGTGCTGTTGCTGAAGACTCAGGATCCGCAGGAACTGTGAGTATATGTTTTAAAGCTTTATGTAGATGAGGTATTTTCAGCAATAGAAGAGCAGTTAACATTTTAATGTCATTATGCTTGGCAGGTGACAACAGTAGCATGAATGAATCCAACATTTGTCAGTAATAAGCTTTAAAATAACTATGACCTGCACACGACCAAAATTGCATAAATAAACAATCATGGTGAAAAATGATTTGAGGGATTCATATTTCAGTGTGAAAAATGTATCCATTATCTAATGTTATATTTGAAAGTAATCTCAATTATAGTGTAAAATAAAATTAAAAATGAATTGCAATAGCTTATGTTTACAGTTTTTAACTTTTAAAAGGGACATCGGATGCCCATTTTCCACAAGTTGGTATGATTCTTTAGGGTCTTCATGAAATGTCTGTAACATACTTTGGATAAAATTTCTCAACTGTTGTGTAAAACAATTATCTTTTTCCATAGACAAAAACCTGCTCTGTTCACGGAGAGCCGTTTTGGTGTATGTCTCTTTAAATGCTAATGAGCTACTGCTCACCCCCTAGAAAAAGCACCAGCAAATCAAGCAAACATCTTCATCAGTTTGACAGCAGGCGCTGCAAATGCTCACAATGCAAACAAATAAAGACATGCAGAATTTTATTTGCAGTGCATTTCTTTATTTGGTTGTGTTGTGAGCACTTGTAGCGCGTGTGTTGTCAAGTTGATGAAGTTGTTTTCTTAATTTGCAGGTGTTTTTTCTATTTGCAGCGTGTTGAGCTCTCTCGGCCACCGTATTTATGCAGTAAATAGATTGTTCTATCAACAAGTTCATCCAGATCAACCTGTTGCCTGCCACTCAAACTTACTAAAGGTGAGGTGCAGCACCTCCCTCCCCAACACACCCACACACAAATCTGTGCTGGTGCTGTTGCTGCAGACTCAGGATCCGCAGGAACTGTGAGTATATGTTTTAAAGCTTTATGTAGATGAGGTATTTTCAGCAATAGAAGAGCAGTTAACATTTTAATGTCATTATGCTTGGCAGGTGACAACAGTAGCATGAATGAATCCAACATTTGTCAGTAATAAGCTTTAAAATAACTATGACCTGCACACGACCAAAATTGCATAAATAAACAATCATGGTGAAAAATGATTTGAGGGATTCATATTTCAGTGTGAAAAATGTATCCATTATCTAATGTTATATTTGAAAGTAATCTCAATTATAGTGTAAAATTAAATTAAAAATGAATTGCAATAGCTTATGTTTACAGTTTTTAACTTTTAAAAGGGACATCGGATGCCCATTTTCCACAAGTTGGTATGATTCTTTAGGGTCTTCATGAAATGTCTGTAACATACTTTGGATAAAATTTCTCAACTGTTGTGTAAAACAATTATCTTTTTCCATAGACAAAAACAGCTCTGTTCACGGAGAGCCGTTTTGGTGTATGTCTCTTTAAATGCTAATGAGCTACTGCTCACCCCACCCTTCTCTTCTGTGGGGTATGTTGACACACAAGACACCTGAATTGCTGCCTTGGGGTGTGTTTCCCAATAACATTGTCTCTTTGTGTACTATGAAGACTCTAAAGGTATACGCATCTTAACCATAGTTATACCTTTTCTAGGCGTGTTCCCCGAACTATACCTTAGGAGGTTGCTTAAGGCAGGGGTTTTCAAACTTTTTGGAGCCAGAGACCCCTTGCAGGGAAGAAGATTTTCAAAGGACCCCCTCATAATTATAACAGTGTTTAAGGCTAAAGTTTAATGTGAGTGGGAGTAATGAACATAATATGATTGTTTTATTGGTGCAAATGGTCCCCATTGTATATGTACTATTTAATACAGCATAATATAAATACATTTACCATTAAACAATTAAAGTTGCATTGGTGTATAAGTTGCATTTTAATGTTACTTTCAG